ACGGAAAAGTAACGAAAAGTTACTTTCTCAAGTAACGGTAACTGTAACGAGTACTTTTAAAAATCGGTAACTTGTAACGGTAACTTGTTACTTTTCCTACTCGGTAACGAGTAACTGTAACTTGTTACTTTTAAAAAGTAACTTTCCATTCCCTGCTACTATATAATATGTACTTGCATATATACTATATTGTAGTATTTTATTAACCGTTTTCAACATATTAACATCTTTATAATATAATGCTTGATTGTAGCATCAAATTATTAAAAATTATTTGTCAATTTAATTCGCGATTACTAGAGTAGTTTTAATTCCGTTTTTAGTCCGGAAAAACAATTTGGCACGCAGTTCAAAAAGACTACAATATGGTATATATCCAAATACATAGGTATATAGTATAAATTAGTAATTCAAGATTGAATTATTTAAAAGCAATAAAGATCCAGCTTCGATCGTAATAGGCATTTTTTAATTTCTAGTGTTTCTTATATATGCGGTCTAAAATAAAGATTCTTAATATTGTATATAATAGCAGCCCTGCAGAAGAAAGGATCATCTCATTTATGTTTAAACATTATATGAAGTTAACACGAATGCAATGCGTAAAAGAATTTTTTTGTGATACTAAAGCACGAAGTTATTTCATTGAACTGAAATATTGTAAACAATGATGATAATAAGACTACACGCTAAGTTTTCGTAGCTAAAAGTTATATATTTAAAATCTTCAGTTAATGATATCAAATTCTACATAAACGTTTCGGCCAAAATTTAGCCATCTTCAGTGTGTCATTAACAAGTTATAGATATAATAAAAAAAAGTTATAAATATAAAGGAAGTTATAAATATAATAAAAAAACAACAATAATGTTGAAGAGATCCATTCACTTTAAAACTCAAACTAACGTGTATCGTTGACATATTTAAATATATATATATATATATATTATTGACATTTTTTAATTTCAAAAATATGCATTATGTTAATTGACTTTTATGTAGTTTTTATTATATTTATAACTTATTAGTGGCATACTGAAGATGGTCAAATTTTGGCCGAAATGTTTATGTAAAATTTTATATCAAGATTTTATATATATATAACTTTTTGCTATGAAAATCCAATATGTGGTGAATACTCTTTGTTATCAATATCTGTATATTTATACCACTTTTTATTTATTTATTTGAAACCAGCTAATTACCGGCCAAATAACAAAATGCCTTAAAACACCTAATTATACAGATTATCTGATAATACATCAGATAATCGGACGATATAAAGAACAACAAATATACTAAAATTCACTTTAGTACATCATATAATATCAAGAATTTTGGTCGTAAAACAATCTGTTTTATTCAAGCGATTAATTTCGCAATAACGCAGACGATTGGTACGTTATTACTCCCTTTGGACGAATGATAATTATGAAACATAAAATCTATCAAAACGAATCCATTACGTTACTTATAATTTTCGATTAACAAGCCGAAAAAGAGATAATATGAGTGACAAGTAGTACGGTATAAAACGTAGCACGCTGCTAGTTTGCATAAATTTAGGAAATACAGGGTAGAAAATCGATATCTGCATAGAGATTATAGATGGTGGTTGGTAGGCGCCACGTAGCCGCAGCCTCCGTCGCGACGGCGTATGCGCTACATGTCTACATCCTCCAACACCATTTTCGACCACCCCAAACCGACAGACCGTCCCTCCCTCTTCCAACTCATTCCCATTGCCGAAAACTCGGTGTGCAACATTCACGTAGCGGACTTCTCGTGGATGTTGGTGCTTCTCCCCTTTACCCTCTTCGCGTATATACGTGCACACACATTACTCGTGCGCAGAGACTCGCTCACTCTTACTCTCACTCTAGATCCTTCCGATCGCTTCGCTCCTTTCGCATGAACTCTTTCGATTCACCACACCCTTCTAAAATCGCGCGCGCGCGCACGCACGCACGCGCGCACACACACACACACACACACGCGCGCGCGCGCATGTACTCTTCTCGCATACGTACGCTCTTCTCTCCTCTCGCAAGCGACGCTCCGGGAAGCGGTGCACCGCACCACACCGTACTCTCTTCTACTTTAGTTTATCCTCGTCTATCCGTCTATCGTTCGTGTTCTCTTTCTTTCACTTCGATTTCCTATCTCTTACTCATGCTATTTGCTTGTCTCAGTCCCTCACAGCGCCCTACACCCAAAGTGAAGTAGTCGATATCGTACTGCGGTTTGTCTCGAAATTAAGAGAAAACGACAAACGCATCGCGCATAGTCCGATTCATATCTCTCATTATTATCCATCCGTGTCCCTTTTATTCCCGGATTTCTTTCTCCAATTTATATTGTGCCGCATTATTACGCTTACAAAATATACATGTTATACGATTGAAAAGTCGCAATGGAATCAAATAATGACGTATATACGAAGATATATATCTTGCTTTTAGCAAAACAATCAAATTAAGTTAACAGTTACACAAAATTATCGTATCCTTCGATCACTTACTTTTTCGCTTTACTTTTCGACAATTAGTCAACTTTAAGAGAAATTGTTTCGTAATATTTGTAATCCTGTGTCGCTCGAGTCAATCAAAATTCAAAAAGTATTCTCTCGTTTCAACTGAGTATTCTAATTAAATTTAGGAGCAAACGAACGCCCTTCTATCGAAAACAACTAGCTCTTGACCAGCTGTAAGTAAACTATCTTGAAATTATATATATATATATATATATATATATATACATACTATTAATTTATCATCTTTAAAAGTAGTTTTAAAAGGAAAGAAGAAAACAAAACTATATATTTTGATTTTTTGAAATGTAGTCACATCACCCTATAAACCACATCGTGCCAGTATTTCTATACACAAAAGACATTTTAGCATTATGTTTTATTTATTAGTCAATAACTTTTTTACTTTCATTCATGTTCGTTCATAGACAGACTGTAATTGCATAGATAAATTTAACATAATTTAGGTAAAATTTTATCTGATGGGCCACTTCAAAAGATATTTCGTCTCATGAATTTGTTGTCAAATGTAGATTTTTTCGCTTACAATTAACAATGTGAATTTGCATGAGACTCATTCTTCACATGTTTTCGGAAATGGGACGAATACGCTAAAAATAGAGAAAGAAAAAGCACTTATGCGCCACCAATCAATGCCGATCACTCTTCCACTAAATACTGCAACATCGCGAAATTAAAATATTGATCGAACTCTGTCATGAACGAAGATGGATGAAGAGAAGCAACGATAGCATTAGCAACAATATCACGTCCAGTCGTAGTATCATTGAATGGGAATGACGATGGGTCATTAGAGAAGAAAATTAATCAAAAAATTCACTATTTATTAAGGATGTGTCATATCTCAAAGCAATATCAAAAATATAAAAATTTCATAGATTGTTCTATTATGGCGTCTAAGTATTTATGTAAAATTTGAACACAATTCTCTCATAGGTTTGAAGTTATTTAATTATTTTGTTTTCTTAAAATCGCGTTTTGCAGTACTTATTTGCAAATTTATTGAGGAAATAACATTGCGAATCAAATTTTTTATATTTGCTAATAAAACTATAATAAATATTTATGTAAAAGTGTATTTGAATCCATTTACGCGTTTAAAATTTATTTACCTAAAACTGCAGTAAAATATAGTTATTGTGCTGCATAAACCATTTATAAGCCAAATTATTTATTTTATTATTTGCAATTGATGTCAAGATGTATTTACAACTAAAGTTTTTTCATTGATATTGATCTTTTTGGCTCATTTTTTGGCACTTTTACTGATATTGTGCAGCTTTAAGGTTTATAATCGTTTAATAATGAGTGCGCGCGCGCACGTACGCATACAATCTTTATCACAAATCAAATGTTAAACGAGAACCGATTTATTCACCTTACAGTTTGATTTCTATATACATATACTAATATATTACATATACTAATATAAAAAGAGTCAAAGAGGAATGTCTATTAACTGATTTCAAATAATCTCTTACCTGAAGTTCCTCCTTACACTGACGTTCTTCTTCTAAACTCATTCGCTTTTCATGTTTCTTATAGTATCGCCTTTTGGCAGCTTGTAAGTTGAACCATGTATACGAGAAGGACTTCACGAATGGTAGAAGAGCTTCGATAAATGGATGGAATTCATCCTGCAAACATATAATATTTATTCTTTTCATAGGATTGTGCGTATTCATGTCGTTTATTAAGCTTTTGCACCTCACAGTTTGAAATTCATTTTCAAGCACACATGCAACTTTCGACTGTCGATATAAAAACACCGAGTATTTTGTAAATAGGGGCTATCGATGGAAAAGTTGACGCAAGAGCAAATGACATAAATGACATCCTGAACTACTAATTCAATTGAAATTAATTTAATACATTTCGATATATGTTTATCAACAGAATAAACAAATATATGTTATTTATCTCGTTATGTAATAAAGATAATATGAGATGTATCATTGTTTCTCTTAATGAATATAATCTCTCTTAATAATTCTTTAAAGTTTTTAGTTAGCTAAAGTTGATAGAAAAATAAGTTATTAAAAGAAATCACTTACTTGTGATTTAAAAAAAGTATATCATTTAGTGACACGTTTTAAAGAATATGCTTCATTTAACTTTATTAAAAAAAAGTTTAATCAGTAGCAAAGCAAATATAAATAGCGGAAAAAAATTGAAGTGATAGATAGCAATAATGAAGTTATACGAGTTAATAAATATTAAAAAAAAAAAAACTCATATAATACAATAATTGAATAATTTATGACAATTTACGTATAATACTTTTGAGGTTTCCACGGATACTTTCTATATAGAAACAATGTTTTTCGCGAGTTGTCTATGTATTCATATCCATTCTTGGAATGCTAAGTTTCATGAACGTGTTCACTTGAAGTTCACTTCATCAGTGCGAGTAGCAGTCTGAAACTTATGTATATTTTATAATACGGGACTTCTATATAAGAGAGAGAGAATTTCTTTTATCCCTCTTTTATCCTTTTTTCTTCATTTATTTCGTTTAATTATTCTTTTATAAACTTCTTATTTTATTTATAATTTTTTTTTTCTTATTCGCTTATACTTAATTTATAGTTTCTTTTACATGTGTATGTTAAATAAAATTTATTACGAGTCACTTAATATCAGACATATTAAAGTATTTGACATTTGATGATGGATACTTGGAAATTTCCTAGTTTAAAAATGGAAAAGGATCATGTGATTTTTTTTATGTTAACACAAAAGCACAAAGGATTCAAAATGTCACTGCCATCTTCTAAAAAATAAATAATAAATAAAATTTAAGCAGTAAAACTATAATATGCTATTAAAAAAACATTTTTTAATTTTGTAATTCTTTACAATTTAATTATTTATAATAAAAATGAAAGTTTATATGGAAATTATTGAAGAAAGTTTATTTATAGTATTGTTTATAGTAATTATTTAAATTTAATTTAAATATTAATAATCGTAGTGGAAACCACGTTGTCATAATTCCACTAGTGCGACGTCATATTTAAAGAGAATTGATGAACATTTTATATTTTACTCTGACACGAAAATAATATGGTGAAACTTTATTTTTGAATTTCAAGATGTTCTCTAAACTCTTTTCTTTTATATTTATATGACTCTTCAAAATTCTTATACTTTACTTATAATTAAATTACTTAAAACGTTTCTTTTCATGAGAATTTAAAAATCTATGTTAGAAAATTATTTACAGAAATTTACACGATTAATAAATCTGAAAAGAATTTGGGAATTCCTACATATTGATTATAAACTTATTTTTAGTATTTGATTAAATCCTTATACCATATTATCTGAAAAGACTGAAGAATCTCCTTAATAGTAATGATTTAATTCTATATTTCCTCTCTCTCTCTCTCTCTCATATTTATAATAAAGATTAGAATCTTCTCATTATTGTATATCTTGAATACTACATACTGCTAAAAACACAAACCATCGAGTATTCACAAACACTGTAGCCGCTGTAACACTACCGTCTGTTCGTCCCTCCTGTCAGCGTTCAGTTATTAGAAACAAGGATCCTCGGGGTAATGATTGCGAAAATCCCAATACTCCTCCACGGCACAGTTGCGAATTGCTCGCAGCTGTCATCGGTACCGATCTATTCTCGAGAAGAAGTGATCGAACTTCCTTATAACTTTAAATCTTCCACGCAATCAGCCGAGCACACAAGAATCAACAGTCAAAATCCTTTGAACTCTAAAACTTCTTTGATTCGCGCTCGCGCACTCTTCTTCCTCCTCATGTATTTTCCAATTATTTGACAAATATATTTATCCGCACTTTTGACCAAGTCTTACGCCGTCGAGGAGCCATCCTTTTAAACACCGTTACGTTCATATATTCTACATTTTCTGTATAATTCGTATAATAATACCGCGCATAATTTTTACTGACCGTTGTTACCGCATATGTAGTCATTTTGATATTTGTTAAGCGATCGTCTTCTTGAAGCAACGTTTCTAACATTAAAAGCGGGACAATGTTCCTTTCTCAACCAAAATCCCAAATCGTCATTATTGAATCTCACTTATAGTTTCGTTTGAAAGAGCTTTTCTAAACTTGCCATAGTTTAAATTTTAAGACGTCGAAAACTCCAACAATCTTGTCCTATTCTTAAGATATCTGCGCATGACAATGCAATGAAAAGAGGGAAAGAAATCGAAGGAGAAGAGTATATCAATAATTCGCGCTCTTTTTCGACGTCTCATCAGATAACGGATAAACGCCTGTCAAACATGTTCCATTATCAGACAAGAGAATGAATAAGTAAACAAAGAAATGAACATACGAATAAAATAATGGAAAATAAACTCAACTCTGGGAGATGAGACCGTCGCTCACGGACGGTTTACAAACGTACGATGGACGCATATTTATATGCACATTCATTTGCTATGTAACGTTGTTATTATTTATTTTCGAAAACTGACGAAAATCGGAGACATAAAACAATCTCGTTATTACTGTTGGAATTAAAAAAATGTTAGGGAAGAACACGCGACAAATTTTAAAATATATTTAAGGAAATTATATATACAAGCGAAAAAGCTAAAGGAAATAATTCCAACGCGTCCTCTTGTCTTCTTTTTCTTTTTTTTTTTATTTCATCTATCTCTTTTTCGTTACTCTAAGTTACTCCTTAAGCGAAAAAAATCATGCCAAAAATCGACGAACAGCCAAGCGAAAAGAAGCGCAAAGTGAATCACTCCCGGAAAACGATGGTCACACGGAAAACGTACCATTGTCAGGTACGAGCGATTTGCGAACTCAAATTAGAGTCCTTCACCTTCTCCTCCTTCTTCTCTTCCGCCACCACCGTTTTCTCTTCCTCCTTCTTCTCCTTCTCCTTCTTCTCTTCTGTCTTTACTCGCGCAATATTGCGTGGCGCAAACTTGTTCAAAAAAATTCACGAATCACAATTAACATTCCAATATATCAAGTTAATTTTTCAAATTGTAGAAATCATAGAAACAAAAAATTCAAATTGTCTAAACGTAATAAACAACAAGTGATATATGTGTGTGTGTATATATATATATATAGAAACCGCGAAAATCGTTTACACAATGTCTACGGTAAATAACGCGTTGAGAGTATCGATTCAATGGGAAAGCGTACGACAAAAATGAAACGATCGGCGTGAAAAATGTAACAACGAACAATCGATGAAACCAAACATACAGTTAACACATTGATATGTCCACTCAGATTCAAATAACAAGAATCCGTATCGGTCGAGCATCTGGCGCTATATGAAGCGCATGGTATAGTTTTCTCGTATTCTTTCGAGAAATACGTTGCACTACGCCATTTCGGCGTTAAAATATCACGACGAAGCGTAACTGGATGAATAAGTTTTAAGGTGCCTTAGTTTTGATACAATAACATCTAGTTGGGGATAACGAAATGACTGTCGAAATAACTTTTTTATTTGAGCTCGAATCAACACTTCGGCTATTGAAAACAAGTCAATCGCAATTACGTGGAAGGACTTTCGAATTCTGCGAACTCGTACACGACCTACGTCTCGCCGTTTGCGGAACGACGAATGCAACGTCGGTCGTCGCGACGACACTGAGACGCCGGTCGTCGAGACGCGGACGGTACCGCGCGCTCGGCAGCCAGGTACGGTATCCTAAACAGTTATTAATAGCCCCTGTCCTAGCTTACTAGATTTGCCCTCGAAATGATGCGACGCGATGCAACGTGACATCAAGCAATTCTGTATTCCCGTTGGTAATCATTCCTCTTTTTTCCTTTTTATTTTAAAACGTTTGATCAAACAACGAGATTCGGCTGATTAGTTAAATTTCAGAGAAATTTGCATTCCAATATATACAGGGTGTTCCTAAAATTTGACATCACCCATCCTGAGCAGGTAGAACGAACTAAACTAAGTTGAAAAATCCTGTACTATTTTGCAATTTTTGCAATGGTTAACGAGATATTAATTACTAAAAATCGCTAAATATTGATTTTCAATTGTTTACTCAAATATTATCAACTTCACAGAAAAACAGCAAGAGATAAAAATTGTTTATTTTCTTCTTATAAATTACTGATGAAGACTCAAACCATGAGTGGAAACGTTCAAAGTTAAGGTTTATATTTTTAGTATTAAGAAAAATTACGCTAATTGATAACCAGCGTCGACTCCTATTGCCTGTAATATTTCTTATGGTTTCATTAATTATTTTAATTAAAGGAGTCTATAAAAACTTATTAGTTTTTATTAATTTATAATTTATCTTCTTCTAAAGTTTTGAGAATTTTTTTAGAATTTTTTCAGAATTTCTTATTTTCTCATGGTGGTAAAAATAAGAAACTACGATACTAAAAAGTTGATAAAAAAATTTTGAAAAAATTCTTAGAGTTCTATGAGAAGAAGATTAATGATTTTTGTCTCTTGCGGATTTTCTGTGAAATTGATAATATTTGAGTAAATTATTTCGAAAAAATTATTGAAGAACAATATTTGGCGACTTTTAGTAATTAATATCTCGTTAATCATTGCGAAAATTGCAAAGTGGTAGAGGATTTTTCGACTCAGTTTAGTCCGCTCTACCTGCTCAGGATGGGTGATGCCGAATTTTAGAGACACCCTGTATATCCATGACTCAAAATAAAATGTTAAGTTTGAGATGAGGAAAGCACCAAATCATGTTGAATTGTGATAATATAAGTATATGCATACACACGCATGCAAACGCACGCGCGCGCGTATGTGCAATGTGTGCGCGTATACTTATATATATATATATATATATATATATAAATGTATATAAT